AGCCACAATTTAGCCCACATTCATTTATGGGGTGTTACGTTTCAGCATCAGTTTTATTGTATGCTTTACTGGCCAGCATGTATATTTGTTCTTTACTACTTAGGTAAGTAAGGTGAACAAGACTTGGTCTGAGATTTATCTCAAAATTGGTGTTCAAATAATCATAATGAAAGGTGGGTTTTTTTCTGTATTTCCATTATAAGTTCTCTTTTCCAAACTCCTGACTGGAGTCATTCTTAGTTGTTCCTTGGGAGGCAAGAACTAGGCTGAACATCACTCTACCTTCATATTTTTTAAAAAATATTCTCATTGGGTTCTTAAATTCTAAGGATATGTTTGTGGGAAATTGCTTTGCCAGTTCGGATACTTTTTCAAACTGGCACTTTAGAGGCCGGTAATCTATATAGTGTTATAATAGGGAGGAGAGGATTGAGAAATTTACAATTGAGTATATTATTTTACACTGAATATGAAAAGAATGATTTTTACCTTTTGTCCTCACTTCTCTTATTTTCCATCCATATAATAAGTGTATGAGTTTTACTCTGCCTTTTTTGATAAATTCCTAGCCGTGTGTTGTTAGGCATTGATACGTACCTCAGACATCACCAAAATGCCCTACCTGGCCATCAAAATATGTTTTTGTTATTGATATTAAATGAAATTAGCCTAACTACAGAGAATTATTGTGAAAAAGCTGGTAGAAGGAACACAAGTTCCCAGTGCTGCAAACAAAACTAATAATGTAAACAAAACTGAGCAATTTTGGATTGTGCTCCATTAGGAATGCAGAAAAAGCAATACTTATCAAATGAAAAAAAAAGTCATTATGTACAAGAGTAGCCCTCTTATTATTTGTCTTTATCTTATCAGAGTAGTCATGTGGGTAAGGACTATTTACAAAAGTGGAGGACTAGGCTTGAAATAAGAAATCAGTTTTTATTTCAAGTTGCAAGAAAAAGACATAAGAAAACAAAATACCACTTTTCAAACTTTTATCATCTTTTACATGGGCATTTACAATGGAAATACAATTTCTGGGTTAACTATATTATTGTTACCATGAACCACTATTTCAGACACATGTACATACATAATTTTAAATGTCAATACTAACATTAATCAATATTTAATAAACATGTTTTCTTAATTAACAGCTCTTTGAAACACCATATATCTTATTCCTCCTTCTTCGTATACTCCCAGTAGAATTTTCAGATTTCATTAATTACACTTGATGAAATCAAACTCGACTACTTACTCTTATTTACCTTTGTGGCTCATCTTTTTTTCTGATAAAAGATAAGAATTTACTTTGAATTTGAATTGTGTTCTAGATTTCCAATGACCTACACATTGTGACTCCAGAATATGTTAAAACACACACACATACACACACACACACATATTCCCGAAGTCATGTGTTATCAAATATCTTTGGGTACATCTACACTTGCTCCTTAGTTCGAACTAGGGATGCAAATGTAGGTGACCGAAATTGCTAATGGAACGGGATTTAAATATCTCGCACTTCATTAGCATGATCTTACTGGCTACTCTGCTCAACAGCTGATTCAAACCAGGAAGTGCACATCGGGACGCATTAGTTCAACACAAATCCCTTGGTTTGAACTAACGTTACTTCTCAAAAAATGAGGAGTAATGTTAATTCGAACCAAAGGATTTGGTTCGAACTAACGCGTCCTGGCACATACTTCCTGGTTCAAATCAGCTGTTGAGCAGAGTACGCGCCGGTGAGATCATGCTAATGAAGCGCAGGATATTTAAATCTCCACTTCATTAGCAATTTCGGTCGCCTATATTTACATCCCTAGTTCGAACTAGGGAGCAAGTATAGATGTACCCTTTCTGTCTAATCTTCCAGAAACTGGAAATTCACAAGACATAGGTTCTCATCCAGTGCAGCATTTTATATAGTTCTTTAGCTTTCAGTTTCTGAACATGAGCACACTTTTCTAAGCTTAGTTTCATAATGAATTATGAACATGCTAGACAATCTGCATTTGAGCTTCAACTTTTCATGCTCTTAGGCTACATCTAGACTGCAAGCCTCTTTCGAAAGAGGCTTTTTCGAAAGATACTTTCGAAAAAGCTTCTTTCGAAAAAGAGCATCTAGACTGCAATCTCTTCTTTCGAAAAAGTGAGCTGCTTTTTCGAAAGAAAGCACCCAGGCAGTCTGGATGCTCTCTTTCGAAAAAGCCCTGTTTGCATTCAAGAACGCCTTTTTTCGAAAGAGCACTTTCAAAAAAAGGCGTTCTTCCTCGTGAAATGAGGAGTACTGCCATCGAAAGAAAAGCTGCGTTCTTTCGATTTAATTTCGAAAGAACGCGGCTATAGTCTAGACGCAGGTGAAGTTTTTTCAAAAAAAGTCTACTTTTTTTGAAAAAACCCTGCAGTTTAGACACAGCCTTGGATATTTAATACAAAAAGCTGCCTTGTTGAAAAGTATTTATTATTGTTGATGTTTTTTTTATACCCAGTATGCTTATGGAAGTGTTCAGAGATTTCAAAAACAGAGAGAACTATTGTAATTGTCTAGTTTAACCTCTCGAATAATTTAGGCCATAGAATGTCCTGTCCTAAAATTATATAAAGTTGTTTGTTTTTTGGGTTTTTTTAAATTAAAGAATTATCATCAACATAATTGACATATTATTCCTCTCATATGTTCAGTAAAACACACCAACAGTGAATGCACATATTTAATCAATAAATTGGTTGTTTTTTTATATTTATGCTAGTAGGTATGCTCATAAAGATATATAATTTTTGTATTTTAATAGGAGAAATATAATACTTCAAATCTGTTAGTTCTCCCCCTAAAAAATCTCTTCCAAAATAGCTCTTTAGAGCAGGGCAATTTTGTCACTTTTATTGAAGAAAAAGAGAGCTAGAATAGACAGGATGCTGGGCTAGATGGACCTTTGGTTTGACCCAGTATGACTGTTCTTTTGGTGGTTTTTAAAAATAAAAAACTAAGATCCATATCAAACATCAATCCAACCCCTGAACCAAACTACATCTCAAATTGTCTTAAAGATTTTTTTAAAAGTCTCTCATCTACTGTTTATGTCTTTCCTTTTCTACACAGAATAGTCCACACTATCCTTCAGTAATTTCTCTGAATATTCCTCAAAAACAACAAGGAGTCCTGTGCCACCTTAACGACTGCTGGTGCGTCTACACAGCACACTTATTTAGAAATAAACTATTTTGGAATTTTTTCCAAAATAGCTTATTTTGAAATAGCACGTCTACACTACAGGGAAACCTCAAAATTAGTGCAAGGCAGGCTTTCCTAATATGGATGCGCTATCTCGATTTAGAGCCCCAGGAGACACAGGGAGTAATTACTTTGAATGGCCTTGGGGAGGAGCTTAAAATAGCAGCAGTGGAGTGTCCTCCACTATTATTCCTCATGGAATGAGGTATATAGATTTTGAAATAATCCATCCATTATTTCAAAATTGCTGTGTAGATGCTCTCGTTATTTCAAAATAAGGGCCATTATTTCGAAATAACTATGCTGTGTAGAAGCACCCTAACAGATTTATTTGGGCATAAGATTTTGTGGGCAGAGACCCAGTTTGTCAGATGCATATTCTGACTATTCCTGTATTTTAACTCTCATACCATGTTTTCCTTCGGTTCTGCTTTTTCCTTTTAACCTAATCCTTCTTCTCTGCCCTCTGGAGGATCTTTTGAGCTAAATTCTCTGCTGGTGTAATTCCATTGATTTCAGTGATCTATGCCAGAAGAAAATATGACACCCTCTTTCTTCTGATGCTCCTCAGAGTTCATGATGGAGTCTCCTAAGGTTTGGCAGTTCAGGGCCGATCTTCACTAGATACTGTCACAGTTGGAACATGGCTACAAGGCCCATACCAAAAATGTATTGAGTTGTAGGGGAGGTATCTAGCCAGAGTATCTGAGGCATCATGTTAGATCCAATTTTATTTAAAATCTTTAATGATCTGGAAGCTGATATAAATAGCACATAATTACATTCACTGATACAAAAACTGAGAGGTGCTGAGTACAACAGGGAAGAAAGAGAAATAACAGACAGAGACCTTGAGAGACTACAACAATAGCCAGAAAATAACAAATGAAATTCACCTTGGAAAAATGAAAGCTAAATCATCTTCAGGGAAAAAAACGTGAATAATCTTTGAGGGAGAAACATGAAAACAATAGAACTGAAAATAGCTGGGAGGTTAAAGTGAGCAATACATTAGAACCCAATACTGCAAAGACTTAACCCTTTTTGTAGCTTCATGCTCAAGAAAAATTCTTCACTACTGCCATTCCCTCATTAAAAAAAACTTCCTCGGAATTGTCTGCTATCCTCTCTCCTCCCTGCATGAGGGATTAAACTAGAGATTAGAAGATACAGACATTAAAAAACCACATACTCAGATGTACAGTGAATTTCAGGGTTACATCTCCCCGAACCTGGGTGAAACTCTGGTTTCATTTACACCAACGGAAGGTTTATATTTCTGTGCTGTCAATCTAGATTGTTAACTCTTGAGGTAAGAAGACATATCTCTGCTCCAGTCAGTAAAGTGCCTAGAATATTGTTGGCACTATACAAATAGTAAGTAATAATAGATTATTAAAATTACAGTCTTGTCCCCAGTAATCAACTAAGTTGTATAATGTACCTGTTAGGTACTATGCCTAGGCCTGCTTCTATTCTTACTGGCAGTAAAATTGGGTCTATATGTTGATGACATGGTAAACTATTGTAAAATTAAAATTATGTAGTATTACCAGCTTTACTGAATAAGTGTTTAATACTGAAAAAAGTTGTTAATGTCTGTGGATCTTCTTTGCCTCCAATGATTTTGACCTGCTGATATAGTGGTATCGTAGTTAATGTTTTGAAGTGCAAAAGGGTTCTGTGTCACTGTACATAGTAGGTATAATTCATGTGTACAGCAGCTTACAAATTGTTGTATGTGTTTTCTTTTCAGATTGTAATTGCCAGTATCATGTGCAGCTACAACAAGGATGACTGGACTGAACTTTCAAAAATGGCTGAGGTAATGGTTCTTAATGTGTTTCCTCATGTCTTTTGTCTTGTTTTCCTTCTTCTTAAATAAAGAGCTGCAATAAGAAGCTCTATAGAAGCAAGAGATTCAAAGTAAAAGATGAACTTTTAAAGCATGTCCATCATAATTTGTTTATTTTTGTGTTCTCATTAATATGAAGGAAATGTAAATTTAAAGAACATCTATTCCATTAAAGCGGTTCCTTGAATTTTTACACATTACCTGCAAAGCCTTTAGTCTCTGAATCCACATACTTTTTATTTGCATTTTAAGCAAACTGTATATTATGATGAATGCCCTGATAAAATTTAATTCTACCTTCGAGAGCTTAACTTGATCTTACCTTGCCTACAGGCACAGTGGTTTGACAGCACCAGAAGAAATTTTGAATATAAAACTCTTGAATATTTAAAGTATAAAAGGCTCATTTAATGCTATTCTAGTTTTAATACAGGCTTGCAAAAATGATAGCAAAAAATCCACAGTATATAATAACAGTCAGCAGGTTTTCTGTAATATAAATCCAATCTTGCATAAATGCAAACAACCAACCATATGGCTGAAATTTGTATTTCAATTTGAAGACAAAAGCTATTAATATTTTTATGTCCATGGTGAATATCAGAAGAAATACTTGATAAAGACAGCATATTTAAAAATATGAAAGAGATTTTTTTCTTCACATGTTTACAATGTCCACTAGAAATAGAGAGGTACATTTCCAAATCAATGTTAGAAGTTTTAATGCCCTTTATGGAGAAAAAACAATTACGCATTATTATTAGCTTTTGTTCAGAATTAATACATTATAAATATCACACACATACATAGTTGGAGGAGTGCATAGATATATGGGTGTGTATATATGTACGTGGGTAAGTATATGTATATATCTGTGTATATAATTGTTTTTTTCTTTCCAAAACGTTCTAAAGCCTCTTAGAGTAATCTGGAACGATGCTTCTCTATTCTCTTTGGTCATTTTAAACCTACAAGGAAAAAAAATCACTTTGGAGATTTAGGGAAGTGAAATTAAACATTATCAGTAATTGGCTTTGTGATCTTCAACACTAGGTCCATTTTATACCTGTATTTACTTAATTGACCATGAAATCTTTTGCGGAATCCATGCTTGACATGAGTTTTACCATGTTTAAACTGACTATGATGAATGGCTTTATCATGCTTCTTGCTCCTCTTCTTTCTTTTCTATAAGGCAAAAATGCTTAGTGTTCTTTTAATCTGTAATTGCTATCAATTTTGGGGAAAAAAGACACATTTTCAATCTGCAGTTATATTTGGAGTAGCACTTTGGAAACGATGGAATAGTTAGATAAATATATTTTGTTAAGTGTGAGGTAACTTACACGGTGAAAGTAATTCTTAACGTCTGGAGCTTGGAAAGCATCTATCATGTTATAGTCATGCAGAATTAAAGAATAAAATACAGTAATATTTCTGTACCGTATTTAAAGCCCTATCTAGAAGATAATAAATGTGGCCTTCAAGAGTGCATAAGCCCCAGAAGGTTGTGAATTCTGTCTCCATAGGAGGCCGACCTATTCATGCTAAAGGTCAGCTTGTCATGGAAGCCAATAACAAAAGTAACAACAGCTCTGTAGTCACAAGTTGCAGAGCTGACTAGGAAGTGGAAGGCTCATGAAAATGATGGATAGCTTCTCTCATGATCACACTTAAATTCAAAACAATATTCTAGTTTTGGGGAAAGTGGAAGACAAAGAGAATGGTTACTGTGTCTTAAGCTCTCTGCCAAAGTAAGTACATGAAGAGAAGATGGAATGTTTTGGTTTGCTATTTATTGTCAGATCTATCAGTATGTTTTTTTTTTTTCATTTTAATTTTTGTTAATTACTTTAGCAAAATAGGCAAACACATTTTTTGGAAATACTATTTATTTTTAAATATTTGAGCCTTGCATGGACTCTTTCTTTTTCTCTCCTGTTTAATTATTTTTATTTCTGAAGTCAACAACAAACACTATACCCTGGTGTGAGTATGTCTACAAAGTATACATGTTCGTAATCCAATTTCTGTAGAAGGGAAATGTTTATGACTAGCTTTTGGTTTTGGAGCACAGAATTTATCTGTGTGTACCAGCAACTATTGAACTTTTTTCTGACTTCTTGTTTAAATGTGAAGTGTCTCATTTGGGGGCATTTTGCAGTATCGACTAAAAGAGGGAACTTCGTTGATTTATTTTGAAAGAAGAAAATTCTTTAAATAGTGTCTGATCTTTTTATTTCCTTGTAGCATTGTGATTTTTCCCATGTTTTCATCTTTGTATCGTATATTACATCTACAAATCTTTATCTTTCCTTCTTCCTTCTTACATTAATCAATGTAAGCAGACAACAGATTATGCATTCTAGTTTAATCACCATTTCGGTGTTTATAAATGGTTGATTCCAACCAAATTTTCATCATTACCAGGTCTGAGGCATAGACAGAAAGTCCATCCTCTGTTTCTCACCTCTCACAGAGTACCTATCTATTCTTAAACTATCATGGGGCCCCAATATCTCAATTTTTATTTGAAAGGGTTGGGTGACCATCTAAATCTTCTACTCCTTTCTGAATAGGACCATTTCCTGGGGATTTTGATTAGTTCTGCATGACCTCTCATCACATACTTTCATATTGAGGAAGAGATAGATGTTAAGAACTCTCAAAGTCTAAAGGGCTTTTGTGTTGGAGATGCAGGCTTTTGTGCAGGCCAGGAAGCTGAATCCATTTCATATATCGAGGTGCATACATGACCATGGAAAAGGATATACTAGATCTCTCATAGTATCTGGCACTGTAGAAGTAGAGCACAGAAGGGCTCAGTATGGTTAATGTTGGGAGCCACACAGTAGGGAGTAAAGCAAAATAATTTAATAATATATTTTTGTTTTGATTTGACACATACTGTTCCAGGGCTAATGTGAACCTGTGACAAAAAATCAGAGTTAAAAGCTATCAATCTCCCTGTTAATCTCAAATGGTAGCAAATACAAAGAACCAATTTTGCAGTGATGTCTTTCATGTGAACGAAAGTTCAGAGCTCTTCTGGAAAGAGTCTGTATAGTAGTGGAATTGCACAAGTGAAAATGAAGTTTCTTGATAGTCTTTTTGCAGTTATCAGCACCTGAACAGTGGTTTTGAGTTGCTGAAACTGAGAATCACATAGGGTACGTCTACACTGCATCCCTAGTTCGAACTAGGGATGCAAATGGAGACAACCGAAGTAGTTAATGAAGCGGGGATTTAAATATCCCACGCTCCATTAATATGATCTCGCCGGCGCGCTAGTTAGAATCACAGCTGATTCGAACCAGGAAGTACGCGCCGGGACGCGTTAGTTTGGACTAAAGCCCTTAGTCCGAACTAATGTTACTCCTCAAAAAATGAGGAGTAACATTAGTTCGGACTAAGGGCTTTAGTCTGAACTAACGCGTCCCGGCGCGCACTTCCTGGTTCGAATCAGCTGTGATTCGAACTAGCGCGCCGGCGAGATCATGTTAATGGAGCACGGGATATTTAAATCCCCGCTTCATTAATTACTTCGGTTGTCTCCATTTGCATCCCTAGTTCGAACTAGGGATGCAGTGTAGACGTACCCATAAATAGTGAAGATAATGGATTTCATTATTCAGAATTGTGACTTCCCTATACTTTTGCTGAGTTTTGAATAAAGTTATTCTGGCCATGGCTCATTTAATCATGAAGGATTCTTTAGTACCTCTTCAGATTGAATCAGCCATACAGTTGGTAAAACTGGTTAAGATAAAATAAGAGCTCCGTCTTGAATTTCAACGTATATCAAACTTAAATACAGTATTTTTGAACATTTGAAGTTTGGTTAACTTTACTTTCATTATTATGCATCCTCTCATTCCACTGCATGTCCAGATCCCAGTTGGGAACAGAGGTGGAAGTATTGAAATGCCACAAGGAAACTTGTTATCACACAGTTTCCCAACTAATTTTGCAGACCCAAGAGGCTTCAGTAGTTTTCAGACAAGCATCAAAATGTTAGAGTGTTTGTTATCTGAGCCAAGCCAAACCCTTTGAGATGCAGGCTTTCCATGCTGATCCACTTGTATAAGTAAAAATGCTTTGAACTTGGTGTAAAAGGCCACCCTATAAACTGTTGATTTATTAGCTCTCTTCTTTATATATATAAATGTATCTTCAGTCTGATTCAAATGTAAAAATCTGGTTTATTAGTGTCTTTTTTTCTTACAGCTGTTGAGATATTCATACCAGACCTACTCTTTATTTTTGTCTAATTCTTAAAAATAAATATTCCAATATTCCACCCATTTTTCTAAGCTCAGCAATCTGAAAATTTGAATATAAATATCACATTTCAACATGAGTAAATAATAAAAAAATAGGTTTTAAAGTGTCCTTTAATATTTATATTTAAGTAAAATATTTATTTTTGCTTTATTCTTTACTCTTTACTTTGAATTTCTAATTTTTCCTCACAAAACTAAATACATGTTTATAATGGTTTCTCCACTTAAGCAATGGATAGCTATTTCCAAACAATTCTAGCTTATATTTATGTATTATTAAACACCAAAAGTAAAAAGTTTGACAGCAAGGTAATCTTTCATTTAACATGAGTAATCTCAGTCTGAAAGTAGTTTAATATAAGAGTATAATATTTAAGATTAACTTTGTGTATGTGTGTGTGTATGTTTTACAGGCTTCTGGCGCAGATGCCCTGGAGTTAAATTTATCATGTCCTCATGGCATGGGGGAGAGAGGCATGGGCCTGGCCTGTGGGCAGGTAGGACTTGAACAGCTACTGCTTTCATGTCTGTTTCTCAATGCACTGCTAGTGCATTTATAGTTATACCTCGGGGCAAAGACACATAGAAAAGATTACTGGCTTGAGATTTTCAGGTCTACCTTGTTTAAATATTTAGAGTGCTTAAAAAGTGGAAAATGACTGAAGCTGAGATTACACAGAGTGTTTAATTTTATTGAGGACAAAAATATGTTTGTTTGAAAGAAAACAATAATGAAAAACAAATAACTTGCAGAAGTCAGACACAATTTGCTGCTTTTCAGTGCAATGTCTTTACTTTTTAATTAATGTTGATCAACATCTTTTGGAATTACATAGTATAAGCTTTCTAAATTCATAGTGGCTTTATGGTACAGGGAACACAACACAAAAATTGTATCATTTTTAGCATATGATTCTAAATCCTTAATTGTGTTTTGGCAATTACAAAAAAAAGAAATATATTTATTATTGATGGGTCTGGTAGTACCTCCTAGAGCTAAGGTTGTCCAACACTTGATATTAAAAAGCCTGCTTTCAGTCATTTATTAAAAGGGTTAGAAGGATTACATTTATCAGTAAATGTTGGTAAATGTCAATTTTACCATAAATACAAAAATGTTTCCATGGATAAAATGTTTCCATTAAACCTTGAAATATATAAATGGGTAAAGTAAGAAAAATGCTGCTTAAGAACATTAGAATCTGGTTTAAAGTATATTTTGACATGCATTGTTGATGATTTGTGTCCTAATAGCTATAAAGCTTTAACTTTTTAAATTTCATTGTGTCATTAAATTACTGTTGTCTGATTCCTGCATAATTTTTGCATGTGAAAATTTAAACTGATAAAAATAAAAAGAATTAACATAAACATTGATACTATCAATCAACATTATTTAGAAAAATCTGCCAAGGCTATTTATAACTTTGCCACAAGTTTACCATTTGGACTGAAATTTTCCTTGCCAGGTGTTTGAGTCATGCTGAATTATTTTTAAATTTTTCAGCAAAAATAATTCAGTAGTTGCAGAAGGTGATACTAATGGAGAATGTTGTTTGAATCTGATTTTTTTAAATATTTATGTCCATTTCATTGAGAAGAAATAGCACCTTCATGCTTTGGAACCAAGGCTTCAAATGTGGTGGGGAAAGGAACAAGACTTGGAGGATTATTTTGTGTTAGTAATGTGCCTATTCTGTTTTCTGTGAGAATGACTTCCCTTTGAAAAATCTCAGTTTGCACATGCTCAGTAGAAACTTCTTAGAGTATTGCAAATACGTTCTCCAAAGATTCCCTCTGAACAGAATATGCTCCAGCCAAGGAACACAGATGCTGAACCAGACTTTACCTGCAATCACTGCTGCAGTCTGCTGTAGTATTGGCCACCAGAACTGAGAGCAGAGAAACTGTCTGTCCTGTGCTCTGAGTTTTTCCCCATTGGCTCTTAGGCAGTGTGGAAGAGGAAGCCACTTGACTCAAATGCAGGCAGAAATCCTATGGGGGAAATAGTATATGATCATGTAATTAAAGACTGTCACAATGCATATGCACAAGGGGTCTGAACAAAGGTTGCCTCAAATCTGGAATATCATAATTTTTGAGTGCTTGACTTTGCCACTTTAATGTTCTTTTAATGTAGTTTTTATTGGTGATATATTGGGGAAGAGGGAAATCCAAAAGATGGCTTCTAATTTGATCCTTCATCTTCATTTGATCCTGAACCTAAAACAATTTAGAACGTAAGCACGAGGCAAGTTAACAATAATGTTTTATTTTAAACCATTGACTTGATATGTAAGAGGAGTCATACAATTTCAGTGGAGCTATGGCTAACCTTCAGTTGATGCTCAAGATTAGTTCTATCAGGTATAGTACATAGAAAAAATTATTTCTTGGAACACTGTTACCTATGTAACTTTTAATGACAGATCTGGGAAAAGAGGTAAACTGAAGTGACAAAATTTGCAGATGATAAAAAACTGCTCAAGATAGTTAAGTCCAAATTAGACTGTAAAGAGCTTCAAATGGATCTCACAAAACTAGGTGACTGGACCATAAAAGGACAGATGAAATTCAAATTGATAAATACAAAGTAATTCATATTGGAGAAAATAATCCCAACCATATGTATAAAATAATGGGGATTAAATTAGTGATTACCACTCAAGAAAGAGACCTTGGAGTCACTGTGAATAGTTCTCTGAAAACATCCACTCAATATGCAGCAGTAGTTTAAAAAGCTAACCAGATCCTGGGAATCATTAAGAAAGTGACAGATAATAAGACAGAAAATACCATAATGCCTCCATAAATCAATGGTACGCTTACATCTTGAATACTGCATGCAGATGTGGTCACCTCATCTCAAAAAAGGTATGTTGGAATTGGAAGAATTCTAGTTATAGAAGAACTAGAGGACACCAAATGAAGTTAATGGGTAGCAGGTTTAAAACTAATAAAAGAAAGTTCTTCTTCACACAGCGGATAGTTAGCCTGTGGAACTCCTTGCCAGAGGAGGCTGTGAAGGCTAGGACTATAACAGAGTTTAAAGAGAAGCTAGATAATTTCATGGAGGTTAGGTCCATAAAAGGCTATTAGCCAGGGAATAGAAATGGTGTCCCTGGCCTCTGTTTGCCATAGGCTGGAGAAGGATGGCAGGAGACAAATCACTTGATCATTGTCTTTGGTCCACTCCCTCTGGGCACCTGGTGCTGGCCACTGTCAGCAGACAGGCTACTGGGTTAGATGGACCTTTGGTCTGACCCAGTACGGCCATTCTTATGTTCTTATGTTCATCTGTACGGAGTATTCAAGATGTGGGTGTGCCATGGTTTTATATAGCGGCAATAAGATATTTTCTGTCTTATTCTCTTTTTTAATGATTTCTAACATTCTATTTGCTTTTTTGATTGCCACTGCATCCTGAGTGGATGTTTTCAAAAAACTATGTTTTCAGTGAACTGTCCACAATGACTCCAAGATCTCTCTCTTCAGTTGTTGTAGCTAGATTAGCCCCATCATATTGCATGTATAGTTGGGATTATTTTTCCAATGTGCATTACTTTACATTTATCAACATTAAAATTCATTTGCTATTCTTTTGCCCAATCACTTAGTTTGGTGAGATCTTTATTAAGCTTTTTGTAGTCTATTTTGGTTTTAACTATCTTGAGCAGTTTGGTATTATCTGCAAATTTTGCCACCTCGCAGTTTACCCCTTTTTCTAGATCATTTATAAATAAGTTGGACAGATCCTTGGGGGACCCCATTGGTTACCTCTCGAAACTTACCATTTATTCCTACCCTTTGTTTCCTGTCTTTTAACCAGTTATCAATCCATGAAAGGACCTTCCCTCTTATCCCAGGACAACTTACTTTACTTTCTACACCAGTCATGATTTCATAGACATCTATCATATCCCCACTTAGTCATCTCTTTTCTAAGCTGAAAAGTCCAAGTCTTTTTAATCTCTCTTCATATGGGACCCATTCCAAACCATAATCTTTTTTTTTTGCCCATTTTCTCAACCTTTTCCAATACCAATATATCTTTTTGAGGTGAGGCAACTACATCTGTATGCAGTATTCAAGGTGTGGGCATACCATGATTTTATATAGAGGCAATAAGATATTCTTTGTCTTATTCTCTAGCTCTTTTTAAATTATTCCTAATGTTCTATTTGCTTTTTTGATTGCTGCTGCACACTGAGTGGATGTTTTCAGAAAACTATCCACAATGACTTCAATATCTCTCTCTTGAATAATTGTAGCTAAATTAGTCCCCATCAACTTCTTGGAAGAACATGTTGTGAAGGTCAACAGTAGAACAGGTTTAAAAAAGAACTAGATGTATGTATGAAGAATAGGTCCATAAATTACTATTAGCCAGGATGGCAGAGATGGTGTCGCTAGCCTCTGTTTATCAGAAGCTGGGAATGGTGATATGTCACTTGGGGTACATCTAGACTACGATACTGTTTCAGGATATGTCCAGTATCCTGAAATAGCATTTTCCATGTCTTTACAGCACACCCGTTATTTCAAAATGCAATCAAAATAACGGGCGTGCTATTCCGACATCCTGTTAAATCTCATTCCATGAGGACTTTGACTCCCTCAGAGAACTAACTGATGGGCAGGATTTCCTGGGATGCTTACATGAAAGGGAAAGGAGTTCTGCTGGCAGTATTTTAAAGAAGCCTTATTAAAGGCACAGGAAGAAACCATCCCGATGCGCAGCAAGAAAAGCAAATATGGTAGGCAGCCAGCTTGGCTTACCGGGGACATCCTTGGTGAGCTTAAACACAAAAAAGAAGCTTACAAGAAGTGGAAACTTGGACAGATGACTAGGGAGGAGTATAAATATTTTGCTTGAGAATGCAGGAGAGTTATCAGGAAGGTGAAAGAGCAATTTGAATTGCAGCTAGCAAGGCATGTGAAGGATAACAAAGGTTTCTACAGGCATGTTAGCAATAAGAGGGTGATCAGAAAGGGTGTGGGGCCCTTACAGGATGAGGGAGGTAACCTAGTGACAGATGATGTGGGAAAAGCTGAAGTACTTAATGCTTTCTTTGCCTCTGTCTTCACAGACAAGGTCAGCTCCCATACTAATGCATTAGGTAACACAGTATGGGAAGGAGGTGGACAACCGTTGGAGGGGAAAGAACAAGTTGGGAACTATTTAGAAAAGCTAAACATACACAAATCCATGGATCCAGATTTAATGCATCTGAGGGTACTGAGGGAGTTAGCAAATGTCATTGCAGACCCTTTGGACATTATCTTTGAGAACTACAAATGTAGTGCCCATCTTTTAAAAAGGGAAGGACAATCCAGGGAACTACAAACCAGTCAGCCTTTCCTCAGTCCCCTGAAAAATCATGGGAGGGGATCCTCAAGGAATCCATTTTGAAGCACTTGGAAGAGGGGAAAGTGATCGAGAATAGTCAACAAGGATTCACGAAGGGCAAGCCATGCCTGACCAATCTGATTAGCT